ATATATATATATATATATATATATATATATGTGTGTGTGTGTGTGTGTGTGTGTGTGTGTGTATTAATTTATATTATTGTTAAATAAAAATCTTGTTTTAAGACAACAGACGATCCCCTAAAAAAAAAAAGACAACAGATGATTCTTTAAGTTTTAATGTTGACAAACAAAAGAATTTTCTTTAAAACAAAATTCAGCTTTCTTCAAGAATAAAATAGATCAGATGAAATATGAAGATAATACATATCATCCGTAAGATGAAAGAAATTAAACGAATCATACAATCCATCTGACTTACATTAAATGAAGAGTTAATCACCTATACACTATCAGTGTAAAGTTTTTTTACACTGGCAACCAATTATATCTTTTAATTGTGTCATGTCATTGTTAAAAGTAAATGTGTATACAGTAACATGACACAATTAAAAGATATAATTGGTTGCCAATGTAAAAAAACTTTACACTGACAGTGTATAGGTAATTAACTCTTAAATGAATAAGACTAACATTGCATTTGCTTTAATGTGTTATTTCTCGACAGACCAAACAAAAAGGAACTTTGAAATTCTTGAAGAGCATTAATGAGGAAAAAAACAAAATCTCTGTGAGAAGTCAAAAGCATAATCTCGGATATCATCTGAAAAGGTCTGCTCTACACCAGTCTCAACTGTTCTAGGTTGACATTCTCTGCTACACTCAAAGTAGAATGAAATGATGATAAGTAGTTTCCTGAATCAAATAAGAGGTACAGACATCCTAATAAGCATTTAATGCATCAACAATACTCTTTACGATTAGTTAGGAAGACAAATGAAGCAACTGGTAAAGAAATCTGGAACGTTTAAATTTGAATATTGCTGCAATGGTCATCTTCCCAAAAGCTGCTATACAAAGATCAAGCCTTCAAGAAGGAAGAAAAGAAGAACACATACTATATATATATACACGAAGAAAAAGCGTTAGTGAATAAAAGATCAACATTTTTTGAGCAATTCATTTTGAAAAAAATCACTAAAGTATCAAGCTGAAGCACTACAAATAATCACATTTGTAAATTTTGTATCTAGATCTTTGTAGTCTTTTTGTGTTGTATCTTGATAGCATCACGTCTAAAAGAGACGATGCTATACTTGTAAATCTTATCAAGCTTATTTGTAAGGATTGAGCTTAGAGAGACTTGTGCAAAAGAATACTTAGTGGTTAAGCTTGAAGAGGCTTGTGAAAAAGAATATTTGGGTTTAAGCCGAAAGAGGCTTGTTGAAAGAATACTTGAATTTTAGCCAAAAATGACTTGTAAAGAATACTTATTGTTTAGTCAAAAGTGGCTTGTAAAAAATACTTGGATTTAAGTCTGAAAAGACTTGTTGAAAGAATACTTGAGTTTTAGGCAGAAATAGCTTGTAAAAAATATTTGTTGTTTAGCCAAAAGTGGCTTGTAAAGAATATTTGTATCTTGCATAAGATAGTGAAACTTAATCTAGTTGAATTAAGAACTGAACGTAGTCTTTGGATTGAAGATGAACTGGTATAAAAATACGTGTGTCATTTTGTCTACTTCATTACTTCGTCTAGTTACTCTTCAATACTTCGTCTATTTGTATTCTTCACTCTCTCACTGCAAAAAACGTGAGTTTTTGATGTACACTATTCAACCCCCTTCTAGTGTGTATCTTTTTCTCCAACAATTATATATATTGATGTATATATAAAAGTATACATATATAATTTATTTTATATTTTATATTTTACTTATTATTTTAATAAAATTAATTAAATTTTAATTAATATTTTACAATTTTTAATTCTTTAATTAAAATAATATTTTGATGAATAATTAAATTATAATTATTATAAATAATTAAATGAAAATTATTTTAAAAAAAATTTATAATGATTATTTTTTGACGATGTTAAGTTAATATAATAAGAGAGTGATAATAAAATACTTGTAACTCTAAGAGATAAAATGTAATTTAATTGATATTTTAATATATGGACGATAGATAGTGCAATACTTACATCTCTCATACGAGAAGAGCGTAATTCACATTAAGAGTATTAAGTTACATTATTATTCACACTTTTATTTTTAATTTAAATTTCAATATTGGTAACCCAATACTATCAACAAACAAAAGAGACTCTAAAAAGGCAGGCGCAACAGCTAAAACCTTGACCTCGTTATGATGCAAAAGCTTCATGTTTTGCCAATGTGCATACATATTCCTACGAAAACCTATCTCCTAGCAAAGGCGAAGACCATGTAGTAAGGCCAAATTTTTGGCATGCAGCACCAAGGCTTCGTGCAAACGATCCGAGCGACGCATGTGGTGAAAGAAACCACTGAAGCCTCCTTGACCTGACGTGCCATGCATACTATCATCGACATGTAACGCAACTGTTCCTAAGGGAGGATGTAACAATGTTATTGTCCTCAGGTTAGCGACTTGCGGCTGGGGTTGACCCCCAAAAGCCTCCTCTGACCATCTCCACAAGGACAAAGCTTGTTGACAATAGTCACATGCATCTACCTCCGGATCCTCAAAAATGTGGGTGCTTCGGTCACCCCTAATCTTCCATATGAAGATGAAAACCCCCCCAGCCAAGGTTCCTACCTATATACTCCCACCAACCCACCTAGTCAAGGCCAATAACACCTAGGAAGTCCATATATATGCTTGCCCATACTGCCAAACAACCTTGTTGTATGGACGAGAGAAGAGACAATGCTTAATTGTTACGAGCGCGAACAAATCTCCTGGATGAGCCAGGATTGCACACGTTGGGACTTGGGAGGGCTTGGTGACACCCTAAACTCTGTGTAACATCTCGCATATCTAGCCAAGCATATGTTGACTTGACAATGTAACAACCCTGAATATTCCACCCCAACCCCATGTATTAGGCATATCAGAAATGAAATGAGGTTGTGCGGATCGGATCCTAGGTAGAATGTTCTTTGGAAGTGAGAAATACAACCTATCCAAGCCCCGAGAACCATTAAAAAAAATTCAAATCTTACATCAACTAGAGATAAGATAATTAAATAATATATAAGTAAGAGATAACCTTCGCTTTAAAAGTTAGTTTTGTAAGATTAAGTTAGACTTAAACTCACTTTTTAAGATTGGGTTACCCCTACTTATATACATTTTAATTGTCTTATCCATAATTAATGTGAGACTTGAGTTTTTACCAATACACTCCCGGCCCTCACGCCCATCTTAGAAAGTAGATTTGAGCCTAACTCAACTCTACAAAATCGACTTGTAAGATAAAGGTCGCCTCCTACTTATATATTCTTTAATTATTTTATCTCTATTTGATGTAGGGATGACAATGGGGCCCCATGGGAGCGGGTAATAGTAAACCCGCCCCCGCCCCGCTGAATGAAAATTAGTCCCATACCCACCTCATATTCACGCGGGTATCCATTAAATGGCTATTCATGAATTTCTTGAATACCCACGGATATCCATGGATATTTATAAAATTTTTAAGAAATTAAAAAAATTATATTACAAATAATTTTAAGTTTATATTTTAATGTCATTGAAATATTAAAAATAAAAATTCAATATTAATTTTAAACTTTTATTTAACGTTAATTTTGTTGAAATAATAATAAAAATTCAAGATAATCAATAACTTAAAATATATCAATCTCACAAGTAAGTTAAAGTCTCATCACAAAATTACAATAATTTAATCTCATAATTCCAAATGAAAGTAAACAACTTAAAATACATAAATCTTATTGATCCAATCAAAGCTAGAAAATTAATCAAATTACATCCAACATAATTTTATAACATGTTTAACACATGTCGGTAACTTCATCAACCTCACTTTTGTAAGAAAATAAGATGAGAGAATGTAGTTTTAGGATTATGTGGTACAAAGATAATTAGGATATTTAAGAAATAATATTAAACGGATACCCGCGGATATGAATATCATCATACCCGCCCCCGCCCCATTTATAAACTGGTAAAAAATTATCTGTCTCCATTATCCGTGGGCACCCAATTAGCCTATCAATTTATTATCCGTAGCGGATTTTGTCCACAGATACCTGTGGGTGCGGATATTTTGGCTATCCCTAATTTGATGCGAGACTTCGATTTTTCGTAATACAATCCTTCATGTCTAACACTATTGAACTTGATACATGGATAAATGGTGGGTGTCCTTTTAAACATAGTTTTAAAAATCGGACCGGTCATCGAACCGGTTAAGGTACTGGGTCAGTGGGTCAAAGGTTGAACTGGTGGGTCACTAGTTGAACCGCATGACTCAATTTTTATTTATTTATATTAAAAAAATATTCATATTAAATATATTTTATACTTATAAATTTTAATAAATTCATCTTATTTTAAATTTAAAAAAATACATAAAAAATTATATGTTGAACGGTATATTAATACAAATTAAAAATATAAATAATATTTACATATATAATATGCTTGCAATTAATATCACAAAATAATATATGTAATATTTACATAGATATTATATTATTAAATATATAATTTAAAATTAATAATATACTATAAAAGTTATTTAAGTTGTATATATTACAAACAAATATATTAGAACAAGTAGTTATTGTTATATTTAATAAGACTCCTTACTTTTCCATTAAGAGATTCAATTATTATTATTATTATTGTGATTTATGATCCCTTAAAAAATTTTATTAAAAAAAAAAAATGGTTGAACTGGTTTGACCCACCGGTTCACCGGTTGAACCGAAAAATTGTCCGGTTCAATCCGGTTTGAAACAGGTCAACTGCATAACCGATCTAACGTAAGATTCGAACCGGCTGGACCACCGGTTCCCGGTCCAACCGGTCCGACCGGCCGGGTCGGTCCGGGTTTTAAAACACTGCTTTTAAATGATCTAGGATAGACAAAACTTGAATTTTTTCTAATACATCCTACCACACCTAACACTACTAGACTTGGTAATTGTGTTACAAATGGTGGGTGACATTTTTTAGAGTGGACTTATATAGTTTTTATATCATTTTAAAATGTGGGTTGAATTACAAAATCGACTTATAAAGTGAGAGTTGTCTTTCACTTATATATTTTTTAATAGTTTTATCTTTATTCCATATAAAATAGTTTTATCTATATTCCATATAAAATTTGAAATTTTTTCCATACATCCCACAGGTCATGACTCATGAACTTGAAGGCCCACATCATATTGTCCACCCAAGGAATTGTAGCAGCAAGCAACTCCTTATTGATCCAAGAGTTCTGTTAGATTAGAAACCCAATCAACCCGCCCCAATTTCAAATTTTATTTTCAATAATGTATAAAAAAATAAAATAAAAGCCACGGTGTTTAAAAGAAATTTAATCTGGTGTAAAAATAGAAATTTAATTTTAAATAATTTTAAAAATTAATCATTATTAATTAAAATTTAGAGTTTCAGAAAAAAAACAATAAATTTATTACTTACAAGTAAGACCAGTATCACGTAACACGTTGATAATTTTAGAGGGATTTCATGTAAAATTTTCATTATGTGAAGAAAAGTATCGTATCATGTTTGGATATTCTATTAAAAAAAATCAGAATTTTAAAATTTAAATTCCTTCGAAAAAAAAACAAGAAGAATTTTATAATTCTTTTTCGCTCCCTGATTCCCGCCCGCTGATTCTCGTCGCTCGCTGAGTCTGACTTGACAATTTCTCTGGTTTGTTTCTCTGCTCTCTCATCTCTCTACATTTCTTGCTAGGGTTTGTTCATTTATATTTGCTCTTCGATTTGTTGATTTATGTGTTTGATTTTGCTCTTTAGGTAAGATAGGTTTTGACTTTGTCTTCTTCTACCATGACTAGGATCCTTGCTTGCAATTATGATTAAATGTTGTTATTTATTTGAACTGTGGTTGAGTGGTAGCTTGTAAAGCTTTGTGCCACTTTGGTGTTATAGGCTCCATCAGATTTTTCCTGATTAGGTACCATGTACCATGGTACCACTCTTCAACTTGGTCAAAATAGTAATTTATCTCCCCTGATAATTAAGCACATCTAATTCTTGTGACAAATCATATTTGTTCCGACATCTCACACTGTTGCTAACTTGTTGTAGCCCTTAAGCTGGTTACAACCAAGAACCAGGAGTGCTCTTGCTGATCTAATGATATTTCTTTTTCCCTTATAAAAAATATTGATATTTCTTTTTCCAAAGTTGATTAAAAAATATTACTGAACACTGAACAGTATAGCTATATTAGATTTTCTTGAGACTGGTTTAGGTCCGAGAATAGTTTCAGTTTTAGCATCACAATGAGAGTTCAATTGGTTACTTTATTCATGTTGCGTGACATTTTAAAACTACAATGTACTGGTGATGCTGAAGAATGATTGAGTGTTATTGAAGAGAAGGCTTAGTTTGTGCTTAGTGTTGTCTATTTAATCAAATGGCTCTTTTGAGACTGTCATGCATGCTAGTCTCTCTGCTGCAGTGAACCTCAAATGAACAATGCTTAGGATAGGCACAAAGTCTAGTTGATCCTAAGGCACAAAGTCTAGATGAGGTGGTATTGTTGGCATCTTAGAACAAGGGTCATAACCATTACTACTCTTACTGTTTTTTTTTTGGCTGTGGTTATTCATGTTCTGTGGTTCTCCAGTGAGTGAGGAAATGGATGAAAATAGTCCTTTCCTGAGAGAAGGATCTTTGGCTATAGCTTCAGTGACGACATCCACCTAGGCAAGGTTTTACTCTGGGGTTGATATGGTTGGAAACTTACAATACAACTGCAACCCCTCAGAAATTTGAGGGTGGCCATGCAGTGACAGAAGGTACAGTGATTGTCTGTGGTCTTGTGAAGTGGTGACCCTTTGGAATTGCAAATAGTTATTAAGGGGCTGGGTTAAGTCCAGTGTTACTGTGGGGCATGTTGCAGATTAGGAGAAAGTACTCACAGCAGTTGGGGAAATAGTAGACAGAAAGAGAAACAGTGCGAATTTGATAGAGTGGTGCTGCCATGTGAATTTGTGATTGAGCCAGAAAGGAACATGTTCAATGCAGCTGGTGTTCAGCTTGCCAAAGGTCTGGCTGCTGGTGGTAGTGGATGATTATGGTTCCCTTCATAGGTTGTGATGAGAACAGTCTCGTCCTTTAAACACCTTGGCACCGGGCTCAAGAAGAATTCCTTATCATATATATCCATGGAAAGGATAAGCATTGAGCTTTAGGCTAAATCAAAAGCAATGGGCATAAATACATGTTATAAATTAATGACATCCTATAGATATCTCTTGGAAAAAGTGCGAATATGGTCACAAATAGCAATTTTTGTGTAATATCTGGATGAACCTGAAGTTATAAAAGAAATTTCACATTACAAAACCACTTTTTTTCTAGTAACATCTTCACCTTCACACCAAATTGATGCGAATCCTTTCAAAAGAAAAATGTTTGTCATTGAGGAGATAATTCCCTTAATTTCTTTGTCCTTGTTTTCATTATTTTTCTTTCCCTTTTTATGCCTAGCAAGTCATTCTTCTCACCTATGTCCAACAGTCCAACTATAAATATGTCCTCTTATTTCTGTGTTAAGATGTTGGTGCATGTTTGTGCTTTATAGGGATCAATAACTATGGTATACAATGCAGAGTTGATTTTATAGGAATCAAAGGAGGACATAGCTACCTTGTATGTGCTGCTTCAGCTAGCTACTGAATATCAAAACCTACCAATGTAGTTTGCCATAGCGTGATCAAATGATGAGAAAGCTAGAGTTCTAAAAACTTGTTTCATTCAACTCAGAAGCAATGCTATGAATTGTGTTTGCAACTGGACAAGAATGTCTATGTTAGAATATTAGGAGAGAAGATAAGGGCCCACAATTCATATAAGAGAGTGGGGGATTGGTCTTAAAATTATTAGAATCTTACAAGAGTTGTTATCTCGTTAACAAGAGCCACAACAATCTGCCTTTTGAGTATCAAATTGGACCCACTGCAGATATAAAATTAGTAGCTGACTCTAGTTGCACAGTTTTTGTGTTTGGCCAGAAAGCAGTTTACTTGTCATGCTTAATTCTTACCAATTTGCTGTGTACATACAGCTAGCTAAATGTATTCTTTGGTCAAATTTTCATTTTCTTCATTTTGAAGAGGGACATTAGAGATAGGTGAACAATTCTTGCAGACAAGTCCTGGGTTGTATGGCTAGTGTAAGGACAAGCATTCCCTTGAGCTCCCATTTTAAGTTTTGTTCTCTTGTGAGAATCAGAGGGCGCCACCTTGCTGTACTGAGACTTGCTGTTACTTTTTATATATACTTCCAAAACAAACAGATGATCATCGTGTAATAAACAGACTTGAGCCTTTCTCTTGCATTGTAGCCAATTAAAAGAACCTCTGCTCCCTCTTGATGATGTGTTGTGCCACCATTGGCTCATATACCAATAATAATTAATGCTTTGGTGACTAAGTACTCATTTATGCCTGTCCTTACTCCCTGTTGAAAATAAATTTAGCTAGAGCACCAAAAACTTCTGGTAAAATTTTCAAATTTGTCCCAAAATATTATCACTTGCAACTTAAACACGCTACAGCTTTACAGTGGAAAATATGAATATGCCTGTAGAAGGTTTCTCCTGCTCCAATTGTAGAGTGGTGATGCAATGGAATCAGCCAATGTCCATATCTTAGGAATTTTCATCTACTCTTTCAATTTTATTGTTTGGATGGATTTATGGTAACTTGATAAGCTTTATTGACAATTATAAATATCTACTCCAATTTTTGGCATTTTGCTAAATGTTAGTTGCTTTATGTTGTCCATTGCTATCAGGTATACATTATAGTTATTTGGAGTAAAGCAGTTTAGTGTAGACAATAGACATGTTAATAAATTACTATATTTCCTTAAATATTAACATTCATGCAATTGCTATGCGTCATCCATGCATAGTGGGAGCGGTCCAAGTTCAACGCACAAAATGCTGGACCAAGCCCAACACAGAATAGAAATGCTGAAGGCTTTTACTATTTTTGCTCTGAATTATTTTTATATAAAATTACTTAATTAGCCTTTTTTCTCCTTTTTAAATAGCTCGCCTGTCACACATTCCCCCCCTCTGATTTCAGTGTCCTCTTCTCTTAGACATTTATGCAGTGAGGTATGGCTTATTCCCCCACTCCATTTATGCTTTCCAATTCCATTGTAGGGTAGCTATAGCATATTCCAAATTTTATACGAATTTTACTGCGTATGTGATACATTGGTACTCCTCATGTTGTTATGAAGATCCGTGTGAACCCAGTGACTATATATGAAAGCACATGACATGGTCCACTCATTCCTTCTCCACTGTCATCTAATTACAGCTATAACTTGTTTTGGTTTTCCCCCAAATTGGCAAATTTTATTTTAGCACACCAACTGTTTGATGACATGCCTTGGATGGATCCTTACACTTGAGCTGAATACTATAAATTCTGCATTGATCAGTTTTACTCAAGTTTTAGCCCCACCAAGAGTTGGGCATGTTAATAATTGAATTGAATCTTTATTTATGTGAATTGTGAAGGACCAATTGCGTGTTTGTTATTTAATCATAATGATGGATCACACTTTGAGTTGTGACTTGTGAGTGATGATGTGTGTTGGAACTAAATATTTCTCCTACTCAATGGGCTTGGCTGTCAAAGTAAAGCCAATGTTTGGCACAGCATAAAAATTATTTTACTTTGTTAACTTGTGTGTGTGCTCCTAATGGGATAAGGCTTTTGTTGTTAACTTGTGTTTGCTAATAAACTTTTTATAACGGTAGAATATATTGCTATTCACAATACTAATTCTTTTTAAATTACAGCCACTGCTGCCACCCACTGTACCTGTTACTATGATGCCAGTCTCTTTTAAGTGCTATTTGAAGTGATTGACGGGGAAGACTGAAGATTTTGCATTTAATGAGTTGACATTGGGTTTATGAATGACTATGAGTGGCAGCTTGTGATTTCCGTGCACAAGGACAAAGCCAGCAAGCAATGATAGTTTTTTGTGTGAGAAGAAAGAGCATATATATGTAAACTTTTGCATGCAGGATGGCAAACAGCAAATATGAGTATGTCAAGTGTTTTGAAGTTGAGGATGAGGTCATGTTTCCGAACATCATCCTTGTTTGGATCAATGCCTGTAAACTTCAAAAACCTTGTGATGTAAACACCTTGAGATTGATGAACTGTTGTGCAATTGAAGTTCTTGAAGAGTATGCAGATGTAGTCCTTGCATATGGGTTCAGTGACGAGTATACTTTTGTTTTCAAGAAGACCTCCAAATTCTATGAAAGGCGTGCTAGTAAAGTGCTATCAATTGTGACTTCTTTTTTCTCATCTGTCTTTGTGAGAAAATGGGGTGAATTTTTTCCACAAAAGGAACTACAATGTCCTCCTTCCTTCCATGGGCGAGTCATACCTTGTGCGTCCACAGATGCTCTTCAAGCGTATCTTTTGTGGAGGCAGAATATATGTCATTTGGGTAATCAACGTGAGCAATGCCTTTGGCGTCTTGTTGAACGTGGAATGAATGAGAAGGAAGCATGGGACTTCATAAAGGGTTTTGACAAAAGTGATCTAAACAATCTTTTATTTGATGAGTTCAATGTTAATTACAATACACTGGAGCCAATATACCGCCAAGGGTCTTGTGTTCTGAAGACAATGATAGAGGATATTGTGAAGTACACAGATAATGGTGCACCAATTAAAAGGCACAGGAGAAAGATAATCACAGTGCATTCCAAGAAAATAGCGAGTAAGAGGTTTTGGAATGAGCAGACGATTCTTTTGAAGGAGCTTGGTAGTTTTGTTGAAGAGATTCACAATGTGAGTCCAGAGTATGTGAGGTCCTTTGAATTTGATGGTAAATTGATGCCATCAACATGGATTGTAGTTCGAATAGATGGATGCCACTTCCACAGATTTTCTGAGATACATGAATTTGTGAAGCCAAATGATGATAGAGCTCTTAACTTGATGAATTTGTGTGCAGTTGCTGTCTTAGAAAAGTTTTGGGAGGATATAGTCTTTGCGTATGGGGTCAGTGATGAGTTTAGCTTTATTCTTAAGAAAACCAGTAATCTTTATCAAAGGAGAGCTAATACAATGATTTCAGCTATTGTGTCTTTCTTCACATCCACTTATGTGATGAGATGGAAAGATTTCTTCTCACAAAGTGAGTTAAAGTACCCTCCTTCCTTTGATGGACGAGCAGTGTGTTATCCATCCACCAATATTCTACGGGACTACCTTTCATGGAGACAAGTGGATTGTCACATCAACAATCAATATAACTCTTGTTTTTGGAAGCTGGTTGCATCTGGAAAAAGCAAAAGGGAAGCCCAGAATAATTTAAAGGGTGCTCAGTTGCAAAAGAAAATTGAGGAATTGGCTATTGACTACAATAAATTACCAATCATGTATCGACAAGGATCCTCAGTTTATAGGGAAAAGGTAGACAATGTTCTTATTCATCAGGAGAATGGTGAATCTTCTGAATGTTATGGAAAGGTCATTGTTGAGCATATTGATATTATTGGACCAACATTTTGGTTGGAACACCCAAACATCCTTGATGAATAGCTGTATGTGTAGTGTAGCATCGAGTATGCTAATTAAATTTTAGTATTTTATTTCTCGTTGCTGAAAATTTTTGTTAGTTTGGTTTAACATTATGGATTTTTTGTTTTTATATTTTCTTATTTAATTTACATGAAATCAGGAAGTGCTGCATAACTTTTATTGTGTTGAGTGTAAATACGCATGCAAGCCTTAGATCCCTTAACTTTCTCCTTCCAATGAAGGAGAATGGTTGCACCATTGCAGCATTCAACCATGGCTACCAAACTCCATAGAACTCTAACCTGCTAACTATTATGCACTAAAGGTGCGCCGATGAATAATTTGTCTATCTATTTATGTAATATATAAAACTTTTAAGAGTGAGCTGTGTCTACTTTATATTTGTTTGTTTGTTCCGTATATGATCTTGAACAACACTAAGTCGGTGATTTTGTGATTTGTTATTTACCAATGTCTTTTAAGGATATGGAGTCACGAGAGCATGTTAGATTGTTAGAACCCATCCCCAAAAATTGGCGGGAGGAGGGCAAACTGAAATCTTCATTGGTGTAACCGTGTAATAAGAATTGACCAATAAAGGTGTTTAAAAATCGTTGGAACATTGGAATGTGTTAATGACCATTCTTGAACTTTTCAACGCAAATCCTACTGACTCTTCAACATGATCCCAATCTTGTTCTTCTTAATTAACACTTTGTTCTTTGCTTTTTATTCTTATTATACTATATATGTTTTTTGTAACTTAAGATAAGTCTTCAACCACAGCAGTAATTTTTAAGTTCTAAATTATCTTTGCAATTTTGTAAAAGATTGAGTTTCTTAGTTTGTTCATCTTAATAAATTTAATTTATCATGGGCAAGAAGCTGCCACATTTAATAGTTGACTATTTACTAAATTTAAAACAAAATATAAGATAAAAGAAAAAAAATATAGATGCAAAACAATTCAGACATCCACCTTGACTAGTGACATCACCCGCTTATAATGCTTCATCTACATTTTCCCATCAACCCACCACCACTAGGCAATATAAGTTTCCATTTTAAGTTTACAGGTAACATTATAGTGTTTTGTGGATGAGCATTATGTCAACATATTTTGCTCCTCCCTATTTTGTCTTATTGTTTTTTGTCCGTTGTCTCTTTGTTTGTTGTCCCTTCTATTAGTTAGAACAATTCCTAATGGCTTGTAGCGGCTTTTTAAGTTGCCATGCTCCATAAAGAGACAAGTTAGAACAGAGAGAGATACATGCCAAACTGCTATCAAAATTATTCAAGTTATCCATATGATCTTTAATCCTTCAAGTACCCAAACTCTTAATTTCATGTTGCATAATAAAAATGGAATAGTGACACCATTGCCTAATGGTATAAGTAGAAAAAAAAAACTTGACTTTCCTCAAGATTTGAAATTTGAGTTTCTAAATAGGAATAAAAAGTGTTGGGAGAACTTTACCCACCGCCTCACCTAGATGGCTTTACTTAACTCATCTCAGATTAGTCATGATCTAATATAACTTTAAATACAAGGGTCTCAAACAAAAAGGTGTTAAATTTAAATATTCATCTCCTGTTTTAAAAATGAGTCAAACACAATGCTATGCTACTTCATTGTTGTATGTTGTAATTTCTCCCAAGCTACACTATTTTGTTTTATATCCAATACAATGATTAGACTTGCCTTTTGCAAACTTATCATTTTATCTTTTTCTTTAAAAAGGATGTAGCACGCAGAAAAATCTTGTCAACTTCATCCAGCTCAGGTAAGTCGACGTCTTTTTCCATGTTTTTTGAGTTCAGAGACATTTGTCGCAGATGCTCCTCAAAATCATTTGTTTCTCCATTGCTTTGCTCTGGAAAATTATCAAACTCGTCCAAATAAAGAGGTTTCTCCTCCTTTTCGAAAATCTCTGTATCTGAATCAGTCTCGAATAAATCTGATAACTTATCAGAATCAGACTCCCATTCAGAGTTCATATTTATGTCTTCCTCTGAGCACTCGATGTTATCATTCATCATCTCACGGTGTTTATCAGAATTCTCTAGCTGGAAATTTGAAATACTACCAGACTCAATACTCGCTTTGTTACTGTTCTGAATTGCCTCAGCAGCATCTGTATTACTTTCAGCCATGCTTTTAAATTGTGCTCGAAGAATTTCAAGCTCTTGCTCGAGTCTTGGAATGCATCTCCTCACAGCTCGGAGGGCATCCCTATATTTGGATTTATCCAATGCCTGCATAAGATAATCCAGAAAAATGAAAAAAAACAATTGAATACACCATTTGAAATGTTTTTCTTCTACCATAGTAAAGAGTATAAAGAAGAATATAGAAAAATGCAGGGGCAATTAATGTTAACTTCTGGAAGAAGCAAAACATATATAAATCTTTATTCATAGAGAAATGAAAATGATAAAAGTAAAAGCCTCCATTCAAGTGCAAATTCCAGGGTAATAAATTGTCACAACCCCTTCTTGCAAGATACCAGGAGATACAGTGAGAACCAGCACCAACAAGGCATCGAAGAGTTGTTAAATAAAAATGAAGTTAAGAGTGTAAATTTTGGAAAAGAAACATTTTTTTTGTGAAATAGACAAGTAGCATGAACAGGAGAGATTCCATATATACATTCAAGGACTATAGATGCAGAATTTCAGACGTAGCAGTGGTTCTGCAAGTCAAGCATTATGTAGCAGAAATTTTCCCAAAAAGATTCTGGACAATGAAGACCTAGAACTGTTGGAGAAATTTTGAAACTCTATTCCCAGGTAAACTCCGAATCTATCCTGTATTCATAATTTATTCATAAATCACTAAAACTTGAATACACAACAGAGTACCTTCTTTCTTGAGAGAGAGACTCGTGGGGACATGATCTCAGTTGGTGGTTGAGAGTAGTTTTTCCCTCTATACATTATTATCGTATTTTCTTCATGAATGTCAAGAACTATACCTCCAGTCAATCTTGCCAGCTCAGCAGCAATATCTTTGACCTCCTCTGCTGAAAACGTTTTCACCACCACTTTCAAAGTCTGATGTTTCTTCCAATGCAGATGCATGTTCAAAATTACACCTTGGTAAATTCCTCGTCTTCCAACTGGCACATAATTTTTGCATTTGAGACCCATCTTTAAGAAGAAGAAGTGCTCTTCTGGGGTCAATATCTCAGGATCATGGGTTGTTTCTGAAGACTCTGCAGGCTCAATCTTTTTCAGAGCTTCAGAAAATCTCTCTTCTTTTTTTCGAGCCTAGAATGATGGAGAAAGCATTGTATGTTCATTAACTGACAGAACATAAAAAGTAAAAACCATGTTTAACAAAAAACTTTGATTTAAAAATAAACGAGAGTGCAAGAGCTTTCTCACTCTCGAGGAAAGCAAAAAATGGGAAACAAAAAGAATTTATTTCATGCTATGTCATCAGAGAACATAAAAGCGATAAAACATGGCAGTTAGCACAGATAAAAACCGGAAAATGATAGATCTTGGAGTGAAGTAACTGAATTTAGTAAAGGACAATTTTGATTCAACAACATCAAGGGCAAAATTGAATATCTTTCCAAAACAGTGTTAATTTTATAAAAAGCTAGAAGTCAAACAATCATTAACAAAACTGAATTTGACAAAAAAAATTTCGGTAAATTATTGAGAACAAAAAGATTAACTTGAGGAATTAGATAACAATGTGTTATGCATATTATAAAAATGAACGCACTAAAATAATTCTGTAATTCATTGTTCAAACTGAAATTTTGCTTCTTTATCATCTTTATCTAACTGAAGTTGTGTATTAAGATTTGAATTTGAATATGTATAGTGGTGCATGCCAGATTCTAATATTGAATAAAGAGATCCAAAACTTTATTTTTAAATTTAGTGACACCAACAATTGTTCAAGAATTTTAAGCAGTTCTATCTTCTTTGCAGGAGATATTGCTTTAAAGGCTTCTACTCTTCTAGTATTCTTGTTGAGTTCTTAAGAAACAGGCTTTTGCATGCATAATCAAGAAATTGCATGACTAAGTTCCCAACATAAGAAAAATAGATTTAATTTACATCAAGAGCTTTACTATTTTAAGAAATTCATACCTTTAACATTAGTCTAAAGATCACTATTACAAAGTGAGGATCCAAGTTCTTATGCTAAAAAGTAAATATAAGCCACGTGTAGTATGAAAAATACTAAAAAGAAAAAGAAATGTATCTAGATATAGCAAGCACAGGATGGCAAAGGTGCAAAAGGAAAGAATCAGCAGAATCATACAATTTGAAAAAATAGAAAGGATTAATGTATGAAAATTAAAAAAAAAGTAGAACTTACCTTTAACAATTTATATAAGATTTTTTCCTCTTCTGTCATCCTTTCATACTCTTTCTTTTTCTTAAATCTAAAAAACTTCATCCATCTTACAACTGCTCTTTTCCCCTTTAGTTTTTTCCTCTTTAATTTGGCATTACCATCATCATTAGCACAAGGGACCTTTTCAGAATCCTGATATTTTTGCTCTACAACCTTATCATTATACTTTAGAAATGGACTTGAATGAAAGCTTACGTTCCCCGAGAAAGGAGATTCTTTCATGTAATAGAGGTGACCGTAAATAAGTTCCTGGCCACGAACCTTGCATACAACATAGTCCAAGCTACAGAACTGTAAGTCAATAATGAAGCAAACTTCTGTTTCAAAGTTTTTTTGGTTCGCATACAAGATTACAAGCTAAACCAAAGAAGAAGAAAATACCTTCAAAATGATTATTTGATTAGTAGTAAGTGAAATATTGCCTTCCAATTTTATTTTATTTTAACTACAAATCTGAGGCTTGTCTTTCTGGCATTCCCATTTTAGTTAAGTAGGTGAAAACGCAAAAATAAAATGCAATATTAAACACACTTTGAAATTACAGAGACAGAGCACATGATGGAAAGACAGAGGTACCTTGTTTTGGGGAACAATGACTTGGAGAAGAAAAAGAGGGGTGTGAGAAGCAAAGAATTTGCGGAGAGGCTGTTGTGGAAGTGAAATTTAGTGAGAGGCCATGCTGCCAAAAGCCTCCATGCCATATTTCCCAACTTCTGAATGTCGCAATCAACTAAGGTTCTCTTTTTCACTGATTTGCTGGGTTCTGCTTCCTACCAATACGATATCTGAAATATTTGCGGCAAATGTAAGAAATATTAATATTAATATCAATATAGATCACCCCACCATTGAGAATATGTAATCCTTTCCTGACCTGATTCTTAGTGAAGTGTGGATCATTAGGTTGTTTCGATAGAGAATTTTAGAATTCTAAATTTTTAGAATTTTAATTCCTTCAATTATAATTCCTACATTTTTAAACTTAATTATTTGATAAAGAAATTAAATTCCTTCATTTTCAAAATATTGTGCTAGGATAAAACAATTAAATTTCTTCATTTCTTATTTAAATAAAAAAAAACAATTTCCTTCATGTTTTAAATTTTATATTTGAATAAAACATTTAAATTTATTTCATTAATAAAGTTTTTTGTTCAAAAAAAATAATTATTTTTTCATTTATAAGTTATATTATATTATTTAAAAAATATATTTTAAATAATTTGCAACGTCTGCTCTGGGCATACCTAGGAACCCATGTTGTGAATTAATTGATCCAATTTGTCATAACAGCCATTGGAGCAATAATCAAGTAGTGACCAGTTACACCCTCGTGCTTCATATGTTATCAGCTATATTGTTTATATTGTTTTTCCAAGCCCCATTTCATCAACTAAAAATAAAATTCAATTCAAGTTGTTATTAAACAGAGAAAGCGTCCTATTTAATTCATCCAAAAATGATTAAAGGAGGTGTATTGGTTTAAGATTTCATAAGATTTTAGAAGACTTTTTTTTGAGTAAAAAAGTACGTCGATATTTAATCAAGATTTTGTCACTAACAATCGAGTAATATTTAATCTTGATTTTCAAGACTTTTTAAAGAGTCCATTAAAACTTATTGATATTTATTTGAGACTTTTTATAACTTAAAAACAACCTATTGATATTAAAAAAATATAGAAATTTTAAAAGATTGTTGTATTAAAGAGATTTTGAAGGATTTTTTAGTGGTATTCATAAATATCAAATCTATAAAACAATCTCATCCAAACCCATCAAATTTTAGAGGATTGTTTGAAGTAACTTTTTAAGTCTTTTAAGAATTTTCAAGTGAGTTTTTTTTTTTTTTTTTTATACTCTTGTCTTTTTCATTTTTTTTTCTGCTAATAATATTGTACTACTATTTATATATAATACTGTACTACTGTTTCATTCTAACTAAATTTTTTTTTTAAAATCTTAATCCAATACACCCCATGTAAAACTTAAAACTTAAAACAAGTGGGCAGACCATGCCAACAGGACACAAAAAAAGGTAACTTGATAAACAAAATTCCCCAACCTTCCCTTGCTTGACTGAATAACAATTTACAAGCAACTCACTACTCTGTCTTTGTAAAATGAGGAGGCAGCAGTTTTGTAATGGTAAAGCTAATAAGAAACAAGTATTTTTTTTTCCGTGTTTACTGTGTATATTGTGAGGTAAATTCTCTATTATAAACACACCCATAAGAATAACTATGTTCACCCCATTTTTACATGCTAGACAACCTTTCTTATACTCCAATATGGCCAATGCAATACTTATTTGGAACCGTTATAATCCATGTTTTCAACCATTAATTAGTTTTCATTATTCTTCGTATGACACAAGATGTGAGACCGACAAACAAGCCAAATGAGCAGATCTAAGAGGGAACCAAACCAATGCTGCAAGCTTCATAGCTTCTGATGAGATTCAATAAACAATCACTCCACATAACATTAAACCCCGGCCTCATTAACAACTCCATCATAAAGCATCCCATCATCTGTACACCAAACTTCCTCAACATGCCACTTCCTAGAACGTCTCTCTCATTCTCCCCACACTAGATTAGTCATCTTCTCCCTCTTCGCCTGCATATTCAATATGGAATTCATCAAACTTGGCATCCCCAACCAAAACAAGTGCCACGATCTAACTGACACAGAATCCACCACAGTCTCATGACATCATTGCCAAATTCAGAAGACACACACTGGTAACAATGACATCACAACTCCTCAAATCCCCAAAGACACCATAATCCAAATCATTTTCGTCAAGTGCAGCATGTGCCACAAACCAGAATTGATCCCCGAAAGATCAGGATGGGGAGTCGTGGAATTAAATATGGTAGGAATTATAAAATGGAGGTGCATGAAAGCATAGTTATGAAATATCCTGGGTATTAGAAATAGTTGGTTACCACGCAACTGATTGAATGTGGTGTATTGAACTCCCTTCATAGTAAGATGGTCATTGTTTAATACCACAGCATTTTAGTGTTTCACCAATCTTATGCTACTTGTTACATAACCTTCAGGCTCTCACTTATAGGGTAGGACACTAAGACATCACTCTACATCCGATGATTCAACTCAGTACCGCCCAATTGATGAGATTGAATATTGGAAGATGGCAAGGAATCCTGTGAATAGATTCAAAAGATGGGTAGAAAAGAATGGTTGGTGCAGTGACGACGATGAACTGGAGCTTAGAAGTAGTATTAGGAAGCAGGTTGATTCCTTAAATTTAACCATGCCTACAAATTATAAAAAACAGAAACTCCTTTTCCAAAACATCAACAATATTCACCACAAATTACCTAATATAAACCACGACTATTTTCACCACACACAATTTTCCAAAGTAACAAATCACCTATCAAATGTGACTTCAGTAAAACAGCTTAAAGTTGTAAAGGCACCAAATCATTAAAAATGGAAATCAAATTACTAAACATATTTAGAGAAAAAAAAAACTTAGAAAAAACCTAAATTAGAGAAGAAATACATAGACAAATCAGGGAAAACCCAGATTGGAAGAAATCAGATATGACAAGAAATGTAGAAACAAATCAGAGAGGAACGAACCAGAAGAAACTGTGAGAGAGAGTGGCTCGAGCGAGTGAATCCGCGTGGGAGCGAGGGCGAGCGTGAAAATTTTGAAATTCTCTCTTTTTATTTTGGTTGGAAATTAAAAAATCCCATATTTTTAGTTAATTAAAATTAAATTTCTTATTAGAAAATTTAAAATTTTAAATTCTCCCTAATAAAATATTGAAAAAGAAAAGGTTTTGGGTTTCCGAAAACCTAAACCTGTAAAACCCGACAAGAAAAGTGTAGAGGAGACCTCTCTTTCGCATTCCAAAACGCTCCCATCTTCGCCGGCGAAAACTTCACCTCCGGCAACCTACGTTTTCCGGCGACCTTCTTTTCTCGGTATTTTTACATTCCAATGAATAGCATAGTCTCTACTTTCTAGCTATGATGCTTATCCATTTCACTGTCATGTGATAGCACGAACTAGCACAAATTACAATAACTGAACTAATTTCTGAGGACAAGATGGGTGAGAAGGGGAAGCAAGAGATGGACATTGTTCCGAAGCGTAACCCTTCCACTGAAGAGGTACTTTCAAATCGTGTCTTCTTCACCTTTGTGAATTATTCAAAAGTAAATTGATGGAACATATGTTGCTGTCGTTTTTCAATTTCTCTATGCTTTGAGTATTTAAGTCGTAAATGGTGTTCATGAATGAAGGGAACACAGAGTCCGAATCTGGAGGACTGCTTGAAACTTCTCAAAGGAGAGAGAGACGAACAGCGTCTCGCCGGGCTTCTTCTGGTCACCAAGTTCTGCAAAGCTGATGATCACGCCTCACTTCGAAGGGTGTATGATGCGGTTGGCCCTCGTTTTCTGTATCGGCTACTCAGAACTGGTACTTACTTCTTCTTCCCTTTTCCTCCTCTACTCCTTTTTAGTTGGTGTAGTTATATGTATCTTTCATTAGAGACAATCCTGTTTGAGTAGGTAGGACTATTATAAACTCTAAAATTTTCTCTCCCCGAGTATTTAAGCAGCAGCATTCTAGGACTTGGGTTAAGCTGGAACAATCCCTCAATGGTGGTTTCTCCTTGTCTATTAATGTATTTTTGATACTATCTTATATGAATTAGGTATGGGAAGTGGAACCAACGATAATCGGGATGCATATTTGAGCTTATCCATCACGGTTCTTGCTGTGTTTTGCCGTGTTCCGGAGATTGCTTCCACTGAAGACATGGTTTTGAATATCCCACTTGTGTTGGAAGCAATATCCACCCAGTAATGATCTGCACTGCACTTGGTTTCATGCGCCATCAGTCTTTATTTTGTTTTGAACATTGTTTATATATTTTGTTAAAATTTCTTGTTTAGGTCTGGCTTGTCTGTTCTTGAAGAATGCTATGAGTTTTTGTACTTGGTATCAGCTGCTTCTGGAGATGGAATCACAAGATTTTGTGAATCTGGGGGAATGAAAATGCTAGCTTCTCAAATGTGTTCCATGGAAGATGGTAAGATCTAATTGTCTGCTGGTAATGCTTGCATGCTCCATACTGGAAAATAGGGGATTCAGTGAAACTGCTGGGCAGTTAGTGTCTTTTAATTTTTTCAAATCGGGGTAATATACACTAATACAATATGTACAGAATCTTGGAATTGTAATGTATCTGAAACTGAGGCTTTATTATTTGTGTATAACTATCTATGTTTGACCTCTGGAGCTGATATCAACAAGATAGGGGTCCAGATGTAGTATACAGATTCACAAAATAGGTAAATACAAGAAAAACTAGAGATACTGCAGGAACTTTGAGCATCCTGATTTCTTGCCTGTAAAATCAACCTTACTTTTCTCTTACCTACTGTGTCAGCCCCCGCCCACCCCCTCGAAAAAACAAAAAAAGCATATTAATTCTCCTCTGATCCATTCCCTTTTTGCCACCTACCCTGCCCATTTATAAAATCATCATCACACCACTGTCGCCATACCACTAAGGAGGAAACTGGTAATGAGAGTTAATCAATTTTGATCTTTTTTGTTATTTTTGTACCAGTACTATCACATATTCCCAACGTTAAGATTCTTTATGATTTCCATGTGTCATTTACCAATGCTCGATCCTCTGCTTTTCACCCAAAAAAGAAAAAAAGATTATTGTTATATCTTTTCAGAGTCAATCAATTCATTTCTGTGCTTGGGGATTGTCTTTGATGTCTCCAAGAATGTCTCTAGATATTTCATTGTATAGCATTCAGTAACATTAATATTGTCATTTTTTTTATATTAACTATCTTCATGGTGCATATATACACACATTTACTAACATGGAAATTCTGCTCCTAATTGTTGTTTATGCATCATAATTCACAATAGTTAAACACTATGCAGGTTCACATCTGATGGAATTATCTTTCAAACTGTTGCAATTGATTCTGAGTAGGAAGTCCTTGGACATAATCCAGAATGATGTCTTATCTGAGATCTCAGTTATTGTAAGTGTGTTTTTTTTAATTTTTTTTTGTTGTTGTTAATTTGTTCTTATTTTTATTTGCTAATCTTGTGTCACGCTAAACAAACAAAAATAACATCCTTGGTGAAGAAATACTTTTACATGTCTCTCTACAGGTGGCAGCAATAGCAAGGCAGTTTGCTGTCTTGCACAATTCCTTGAAATTTGAAGCTCTCCATCTACTAAATGCCATTCTTTCCTCAAAAGATTCAGTATGTAATCTTGTCTTCGTTTCCTTCAGTCCTATGGTTTTTATGGTGCGGTGATTCTAATATACTTGATGAAGAAAGCTCTGTTAAATGTGAACTATGGCACTGAAATTTGATATATTTGGGTTTGTACTCTCTTCCCTGATATTCATCCAATTACTTCTGGATAAGAAATTGGATGCTGTTCTCCATATTTTTTGAGTCATCTCTCTTCGGTGTAAATCTAGTGCATTTGCTTGTTAAAATATTTGGCTCTAATAAAGAAAATTTTCATAGAGTGTCTATTTTGGTTTGATAGTTCATATTCCTTATGAGATCAATATGTCTAGCGAGCCTGCTATGTGGATGACCACAAAGTTGCATAAATTTAACTGATTTATTTGGATTTTTTTTTTCATGACCTTCATGGGTTCAAATCTATATACCTTTAGCATATGTGTTTTTATGAGTTTCATTGATTCATTTACCTTGCGATTTCTTCATATTTTCAGTCACAACTCCGTGATGCCTTCCGGTTGCTTCCTCAAGATAGCTGGTCATCCAATATCCGCATTGGTATAATGGCTATTTTGCAGAATCGTGTTGGTATGTTGACACAGCTTAATTATGTGCACAATGAATTATGTTGAGTATTTATGTTGCACAAAGAAACTTAATTATGTTGACATAACTTACCAAAATAAACTCAAAACATCTTATGAGCTACTCATAAGATATTTTATAGGTTTGTCTAAACACTCATAAGTATTTATGGAACAAGATAAGTACAAATAAGTTGTTCATTATCTCTTCCAAACGGGGCCTGATTTCTGTTCTCAAGTTGGAAAAGTTAGTTTAAATAAGGTTGTTTGTTTGAGGGAAGGGTTGTGGATGAAAAGGAACTTCCTCTTTGCATGTTCACATGGGTAATTTGATGTTTTACTTTTATAGAATTAGCAAATGCCCTTATCTTACTCTACTGCATTATAGGTTTGAGTTAAAACAATAAAACACTAAGCTATATGAATTGCTTAATTTGTTATTCATCTGCAGCTCCTGCTGAAAGGCTGCAGGCTCTCATTTTAGCTGAGTCTATGGTTTCCATGTATGGAGAACATTGGTTGGTGAGCCAAGTAAGCAAAAATGATGCAAAAAATCCAGCTCCAGCTGACATGTAAGCTATGCTCGTTAATGTTAACTTTTAAGTCATCTGCACTGTGCGCTCATTACTTCATTTTCCCTCTTCCCATTTTAGGTGCCTGTTGCTTGTCTTGGAGCAGTCAAGGGTAGAAATTGCTGTTCTTCTGAATGAGTTGGCCTATTTAAAATACGAAGCACCTCAAGATACTTCAGCTACTGCCGAGGCAATTTTTTCTAAGCAACATAATGTGGCTGTTGCTTTCTCTTTGGTTGAGAAGATAATAAAATTAATATCTAATGTTGATGATGGTATATTCAAAGAAACTCAATTCATGCATCCTTTAAATTCTGCTTTTCCATTTCCTCCTCTGCTCAAATTCAGTCCACTTGGCCTTCAATCATGATCATACTGTTGAAATTATAGGGACTTGGGTAAAGGGGAAAAGAGATAAAAGAGGCTATATTGTTGTGATATGATATTATGACATACTTCTTATATATTTTAACACAGATAATGTACGCTGTTTGACATTTTGGGCTACAAACAGCCATTTGAAAATATCTTTTTTTAAAAGATGAATTTGGGCAGGAGGGTTTGTTCTCAATTCTTTTATCTGTAATCTGGGGGATGATTAATATCATTGGTTTTAGGTTGACTAGTGTTTTCAGTACTTTTGGAACATGTATGGGAGAAAATATGAATACATCACTTTTAAGTACTTTTCAAATGATACTTTTGGATTTCCACAATAATGCATTTTTTTTAATTATGCTGGCTTAGTTGTCTATACTCCCGTATAGCAAACTACCATTGTCAACCATCAACATGTAGATACTATTTGGAATTTTGGGTTTTACTTCTGTTGCAATTTTGATTTGCTTGAGAATGTGATACCCATCTATCATTTTGAAACTGGTGATGACACTGTGGGAAACTTGTCTTTGTGGGTAACTTCATGTGAATTGGGTATAATGCATCTTCATCATACTCATTCTTTTTTAGGAAACCCGCTTGATGAAGGCACACTGACAAAGCTGATTCTCCAACTCAATGAGACAATTGCTGTCGTACTAGAGTATTTAGAAGATGCAAAGGTAATGCTGATGATTAATTATTTAATGTGATTTTAACATCTAGTATTGTTAAGAGTCATTGTTAGTGTCAAGGGTTAGCATTAGGTTATTGGGTATGGGCCCAATTCATATGTAATATTTACTGTGCTCTTAGGAGGCATTTCATACACAACAAATTTTTCATATCTGGGAATCATAAATCTTGGAAATCATGATTTCTAAAAATGATGAAAATTTGTTTGGTTGATCATAAATATTTTAGAATGTTTATAAATATTACTTGGGAATCAAAGATTTTTACTGTTATAAATAAGCATATAAAGGTAACATGATGTTTTTACCACATTAAAAATAACTCAGAATTATTAATTTACCACCTCCTCTCACAGGAACAATTATGTGGGAAACATATGTAAAAACCATTCCCAGAAAACAATGTTTCCTAGAAATTTTATTTTTTTAAATAACAGAGCAAATATAAGAAATTAACATTCCCAACGTCAGATTCTTGAGAAAGAAAAAACTTTTCATGTATCAAACATCCCTTTAATGTAGCATTATATAATATACACATGGAGACTGTGGTATACTGTATACTGTTGATTCCATTACAATACGTTTTTTCCTACTCTCTTTACCTTGATTATATAAGGTAGCAAAGTATAATGGTGAAACTGTACAGGAACACAGGCAAAATAAAGGGGATGATTTACTGGCTTCTGTGCGGATTATTGGGAGGTATGATGTTTTGATGTTGCTCCCTTTGCATTATTTGTACTTGTCTCTAGAACTTGATGGATTAGTAGTTCAAGGTGCTGTGTTAGCATTTCTTCAATCCATTAAATGATTTATTTCTATTCATATGTAGAAGACATATTTCATATTTTAATGTGGCATTTGTGGTTGTGTAGAAGTTTTAACAATGATAGACCATTTTAACTTGTAATTCATGCTTTGACTAAACTTGTGTTATACCATTGAAATTTTATATCAATAAAAACATGCATATTTGATTTATTTTTTTTTCTGAAACCTAATTGTAAGTTGTATGGAGCATCTTAAGCTATAATTTAGATAGTTGTTTTGTCGATTTTCATCCTCATCCTCTAAAAAAAAAAGGGTACTTTTGTTCAAGGACGAACTATTCTAGATGCTGGTGCAGGTCTAAGAGTGGTTTTATAGTTAATACGCCCTTCACTGAATAGAACTCGTGCAGAAGGTACACTTTGATATCATGTCAAGGATTGAAGGAAGGGTTGCAAGTCATGAAAGAATGTATATTGTTGTAATTCAGGAATTGTGTGTATTGTTGTACACATACCAATCTTATTTATAGAGTGAATACAATAAATGATAGAGATACTAATCTCTAATATTATGGAAACTAATCTAATCATATCCCTAATTAATAGGGAGAATAATAGCCATAATATATGTATCCACAATATCTGTAATATATTCACAATATCTGTAACACTCCCCCTCAAGCTGGAGCATATATATCATATGCACCAAGCTTGTTACAAATGTAATCAATCCGAGGTCCTTTAAGCAATTTTGTGAACATATCTGCTAACTGGTCACCGGAGGCAGCGGTCAGAGGC